ACACACACACACACACACACACACACACACACACACACACACACACATACACAGAACTGGTGTTTTTTCCAGCACAGACAGGAAGGTAGTGGAGAACTTTCCATCGCTTTTTTTTCCTATGAATTCCAAATACCAAAAAATAAAAAAAAGGATATACTGACCACACGGCGAAGTAAAGAATAAACTTGATTCAGTGTTTTGTTCTCTTTCTGTGAATCAAGCCAAACTATCTACCAAGGGAGGTAAAGTTCAACTGAGGGAACAAGCGACAAACATCTGGAACCTGCTGATCCGAGCCTAAAATACGGTCTCTTGCTTTAAGCCAACTGGCTGTGAACGTAGAATGTGGTGTCGCTTCTCTCGCTTCTGCGTTTTAGATTCATACTCTTGGATTGAATCTTGTTTTTGTGATGGACAGTCTACAAAATGCTCCCGTCAGTTCTGTAATTGAGATGCAGACCTTTGATTGAGATTCATATGATGATGATTTACTCAACAGGTGAGGAAGTTTTCACAGAACATGCAGCTTTAGCCTCAGACTGTATACATGGTGACAGCATCAAGTGCATATTTAATACAAGATGCTCACATCCAAACAACTCATTAAGTCAGTTTGAGACATTGAGCTTTAGTTAGCTTAACTAGCTACAGTTGATCAAATCTGTACGTTTTTTAAAATTCAGCAAAATTTACATTTTCCAGCAAGAAATGAAATCAAGAACCAATTGTTTACAAAATAACTATGATTTCTACCGGTAAATCTGTTATAACTATAACTGCAAACTGCATACAGTATGTGAGAACTAAATGTGTGGCACCGTAACATCCTGGTGAGCTGTCACATGCAACATTACTGCATGGTCGCGGGTTCGGTTCCAGCTTCGGGACCTTTGTTGCATGTCACACCCGCTGACTCTTGACTCTGAAAACCTAACTGAGGGGAACAAAAGGTCAATTGTATTTGGACATTTCGCCTAAAAAAAGCTTTTACGACTCAAGTCTTCATGTTCAACAACTTCTATGTGGATGTCACACTCAAGATGAAAAGAACTGGTCAGGAATTCCACTTGCAGCCAGAATTAAATGAAACAAAAATACAATATTAAATGAATCTAGATTTGGGGAGTTCAGTGTCAGGCCTCATGGTAACAACTTCAAACTGGAAAAGTGAAAAAATCATTGATTCCAGTAAGAAGAAGGACAGAGATAGAGAGAGAGAGGCAGGCAGGTTAGAGCGCAGAGAGAAAGAAGAGAAGAGAAAGACAGATCTTTGGACGCAGCTTTGTTAAAGAAGGTGGAGCATTGAAAGGCCCACTGGAGAATACTGGGGAATTCTGTTTGCTTGTGCTGCATTACGTTCCCTCTGCAGACTTTATGGGAACCAACTCAAATCTGACCCAAAAAGAAAAGAGAAATGGAAATAAAGCCGGTATCTGCAGAGAAAAGTGTTTCCCGTTGAGTGAAAAACAAATATTTAAACAGATGGAGACAGTTTTCTTGTGTTGCTGAGGCACCGCAGATTCATAAGCATAGCACAGAACGCCTCATTCGGATTTCACCCTTCAACAAGCTGCTAAAATATGCAGCTGGATGGAGAGAGAGAGACACACACACATGAAAGGGGGGAGAGACAGAGAAGGAGGGAGAGAGGGAAGAAGAGAGGAAGTGAGATAGAGGAGGAAGATTTGGTATGTAGACAACCGCTGTGAGAGGAAACAAACTGATCCAAAGCTGACACGCTCATCATTCCTCCGCTTCCACTATGCACCGACATGCTGGATGTCATCGTTTACGGCTGTTTATCTGTGTATCTACGTCAGCGTGTGTGTGTGTCCATGTTTTCTGGTGTGTTTCCAGCGGCAACACCCAGCTAGTCAACATGCGGTCGGCAGCCCCCCCCCCTCCCTCCCTCCCTCCCTCCCTCCTCCTCCAAACACCAACAGCCTCATCACACACTGGCTCAGAGTCAAGCAAATAAACTGCAGTGCAGAGGCTGCAGGGAACGTCACAGACTGGAGAAAGCTGCAGAATGAAACTTTCTCTTCTTTTAAATGTTAAAACGACCGAACACGTTGGATGTTTTGTCCGTCTCGGTCCGCGAGTCTTCACGCTGTTTTTCCTCGATGCTGCGGGTGTTTTTGGGGCGTGTGCTGCTTGCTGTGATCGTGACCAGCAGTGAGCTGGGTGGTCACATAGCAACAATAACAACTTGTAGGCGTCGGGGAGATATGTGACACCAAAGCTAAATGTCTACGAGTTCAAACCCACAACTAATCTCTTTCTCTAGCCCGCTCAGGCTCTGCCTACATGCTGCTACATAACAGAAAGACAATGAGACGGTCAAGAAGTAACTATATCTCAACCTTTTAGCTGACATGGACAAAAAGTGCTGAAGAAATGTTTGAATATAAACTCAGTGACATAATATATTATTAGTATACACACATTATACTGACATTATTATTACTCCATTCCATAACCTTCATAAAGGGATGCGTATCAGTACTGCTGTGTTAGATTGCATTAGTTCCAGCGAGGTGTGACTAACAGGATGGAAGCTTAGTGTATGTTTTAGAACCAGTCGTGATCACTGGGAGCCAGAGTTAGATCGGTGGTGCTGAGCAGAAGACACAAATTACAATCAGCAGCAGTTTGGAGAGAGTTTGATGAAAGGGAAACCTACAATTAAGGGTCACAGCTGGCTTAACTACACAGAGAAGTAGACACGAGATGAACAGAACTTTCATAGATCGGTCTTTATCTCTGAGCAACACAATTTAGTTATTTTAAGTAAAATCTGAGCCTTTTTCTTCATACTAAGATCCAGCTCCGTGTCCAGAAGCAAAGTCACAATCACACAACATGTTTTAATATCTTGATCAACTTTGCTGCCCTTGTTGCTGTCAGCTGTGGCCTTCCTACCCGTCAGCATCATCACCACTGAGAGGCAGAGGAGGATTTATGAGAGGCTGGAAGGAAGCCAAGTGACTTTCTGTGTCAGCATGGGGGGGGATCATTATTCTCCATCTATTGAGCTTCGCAGTGAGTGGTTCTCATGCTCTTGCCCCCGTACCTCTTCACACAATCACACATGGCTTTTACATGACTTCTTTCAGGTAGAGTCACATAAAGGAATCCAAGTTCAAGAATGTGCAGCCGCACACATTCCCTGTGGGGTTTCCTCCCTCCTCAGCAGGGCCCGTAGTGTGTGGGTTGTTTAATGTTTTGAGGCCTGTGTTGAATGAGGCAGGTGGACATGGAGGGGTTAAAAATGGGTGTGGGGGGGGTAGTGTAAGGAATGTGACACCAAGGGCCAAGAGGGATGATGAGGGACACTTACAGGAATCTCTCAATTTCCCGTTGAGAGGCGGTTAAGAGTGAGAATCATCACAGAAACCCTGCGCTCACCCTGGATTCTTCACTTTCACTGTCCACTCATGCCATAACAACTCACTGAATCACACCTGCTGGGGCTTTGGGTTCATTACAAGCCAAACAAGCAGCCAATGACGATAATCTTCTCCCTTTTCTCCCCCATTTATTACAAACAGAAAACACCGTCTGCGTCTGCCAGAGAGGTATCGGCTCGTTTCCAAAAAAAAGAAAGATCGACCAAAACCCTGAGCTTAGACGAGAAAACACAAAAGCTTACATGAACGAGGTAAAGCAAAGTGGATGTTTATTTAAACAACGGATTATTTCTTTAAGACCTGGCTGTTGCTTCTCAGCCGTTGTGCATGTTTATGGGAGCAGACGTACACGTGCTGTGTGTTGCTATACGCCGCACAGACAGGAAGCAGTTTAAGAAGGCTTCAGATGCACCGGAGCGACCCATCCTGCATTCATGCCGGGCTGCAGACGTGAGCGGAATACCGAGCGACTGGAACGGCGAGCCGGACGCTCTCAGGAATGCCGAGGCCTTCGCCAAGCTGACAGCAAAGCTGCGACCGAAGAGCAAAGTGCAGCACGACATCATGGCCCGCTGCTTCACCTGCACCATGTTGTTTACGCCGGCTCCAGCACCATGCCAGGGCCAAATGAGTGCATTTATGAAGCTATCGACGGGACTGAAGGGCCAACGCTAATGAAATGTTCAGACCGATCTCTCTAAGGAGAGAGAATACATTAAGAGTAATGGACTGTCAATCCCAATTTGGTCTCTATTCTGGGGAGCTACTGAAGAAGAGCTAATAGTAAATGCTTTCTGTGTCGTTCTTATTGCGACACCTGAGGTCCCAGATCACAGAGCACATCTCTAATGCATGCAGGGATTTCAAAATAAAGGGAACATTAAACAGGTGGTTTTTAACACTTACCTCGGCTGCCGTTGTCTTCATCCTGGAGGAGAAAAGACAGAAAATAAATGATGAAATGTGATTTTATTTCATTCTACAGATTCCCTTTTTTGGGGGGAATTATCTCTTTATTTATCTTTTGCATCAGTATACTCACAGGTAGATGCACCGAACTTCAATATAACATTTAATATCTGTTTATTTCATATGGAAAATAAAAATACACATCGTTATTCTCACCATCTCCAATCATCCTCCATTTTTCATAATCAAGTTTTATAATCAATTAATCATTTGAGTCATTGTGTTCAACACATATTTTCTTACATTTTATAGTGTAAGCAATGCATTGATAATCAAGATAATAGTTGGTTACAGCACTAGAAGGAATCTCTCAGCACTGAATAAAGGATTAGATGATCCACAGAGAAATATTATTATCATTTAACACTGCTGCATACTTAAAACTGATAGACATAGCAACCCAAAAACCACTTCATAGCCATGTTGGTGTTTATTTTAACCCTAATTTCCCTCGGAGGCCCAGTTGAGACCCACACACTCCTGCTTTAATCCACCTCTCCCCAGTGACACACATGTCCTGCATGTATCCTTAAAGACTCCCTGCTCTCCCAAGGCTTTCCTTAAGACGCTCCGACCCTCTTCAAGCTAACCCCAATACCCTCAAACTGTGATTAATCAAGAGCTCCACTCCCAAGACCCTAAAAGTAATTACAATGAAACGTGATGGATGTATAAGGATGGGGTTACGTAATGGGAGGACTGGTCTGGGCGTACAGTGAGTGTGACCTGACGGATTGAAGTTTAAGGCTTCGGTTTGAGTATTTCCCAGAATCCCGTCTTATGATAAGAAGGCCTCAGATGACTCAAGACAGTCGGCTCAAAGTCAACACAAAATGTAGTTTTAGTTGTGTAACTCTAAACATCAATGTCTCAGAATTAAATACATGAATAAATGAGAATAACGCCAACTTGTTACGCAGGACTAAAAGCTGAATTCTGCTTTACTTCATTTTGCATCGTAGGCATCTTAGATCGCTGGGCTCCGGATTTCTGATCAAACCTGCTAATGTCAGTTCAATTTTAGGTTCACAAACTTTCATCTCCTTCTGTTATCGTTACAGCAAGACCACCGAGCACGTAGTGGCCCACGTTGGACAACATTGTGTTACCCAGGAAGGCCTCTGGGAGAAACTATCCATCGTTTTGGTTACACACATGTCTGAAAATCCAAACTGTCGTGCCACAGTTTCTTTCAACATGCAGAACAGAAGCCAAAAGCTATAAACAGAAGAAACTATGCTAACTTTGGAGGAAATTCTCTTTTGCAAACCGAAGAGGTTGTCAAAATACACTTCAGAGAAACGTAAACCCAACTTATCCTGAATTATCACTTACAAAAACTAACAGTCAGGAGGCCATGATAAGCTTTGAGAAGGCGGACACAAAACACCGGCACATTCTACCATTAAAGAAGCCCTGTGGTATTTAGCCAAAGCCCTTTAGTGTGCGTTAGTCGGTGCCCACTAGGAGCCGAAAGTGCTGTAACATCAGGATTAAAACCAAAGAGCTGATTGGTGCTGATGTTATCCACAGCTGGCACACTTCCCAGGTGGGAAGTCAGGGAGGCACGACATGACGTGCTCACATATATCATGGTACTGCTCTTTAGTCTGTGTCAGCGTGGCCACAACTAAACAAGTCGTCTCAGCTTCTTCAGCAGATTAAATATTCATTATATTTCAAGTGCTCACTTTAGATACCATTCAAATAACCTCAATATGCAAAAGATGCTTGTTTACATAGAAATGTAAGGCGAGAAGTTAACCACAACTCACACTCTTTTGTGATGAAGCTTTTTAAATCTGCACCCTTAAATGGTTTCTTTTACATTACAACAACAACCAACCTGTGGGTATTGTAGTGTTTTGTACTGTTCTCCAAACTAAGGAAAAAAAACAATCTAAAGAAAGCAAGTTGAAACTAGAAGGACACTCGGAAAGTCCAGACCTCCACCAGGGCTGATTCCACAAGTGAAAAATAACATAAACCTATCCAATCCATACATTAAAGTCCCTTGTTTCTGTGTTAACCAACATCCAGGATATCATTAAAAGTCAACATCTGTAATGGGAACAGTGGAAAAAACACTTCCTTCCACTTCACAGCTCTACTGCACAAAGGAAATATAGGAGCTCCTCACAGCTGGAAAGAATTACAACAAGTGGTGGACGGTGTTGAAACAGCTTCAGGAGGATCTCAGACAAGCAAAAGCATGATAAATATGATAAATAGTTCATACTGTACGCAGGTAGTAAGTAGTGTGGAACTGGGACACATCGCTAATGTCCCAGCAGCACTGAATACTGAATACTGTCTACAGCCGTGTTCAAACAGCAGCTTAAAGTCTGGATTCTGGTCGTATTCTCCCCCTGTGTCACACAAATCAGGTGTTTTCTAATCACTGCAGACACTAAAAAGCTAAATAAAGTCAGTTCAAATTCACTTGATTCAGCAAAAGTCTATTTACTTTGGTGGCAGGAGTATATTTTCTTACCTCAACGGTCACAATTTCATGCATATTTTAAGCAATTACTCAGCCCTAAACTGCTTTACGTGACATAAAGGTTGTTTTGTGTCTGTGTTTTGGGCAAGAGACGACATTGTGTCACCTTCAGAGAGTTGTGGACGGCGGACTCCGGCGGGTAGACGATGAAGTGTCGCAGTGTGAAGCCGAAGCCCTGGGAGGTTCGGCGCAGGTGAAGCGTCTTGGGCCCCGGCCACGAAAAAGGCTCCTCCTCGGCCCCGAGAGACGCCACGGCCGACGCCTCGCTCTGATCGCGCCCATCCTTGTGCTTGGCCTGAAAAGAACACAAACAAACGGGTACGTCAGTGTTGATCTTTAGGACAAAAAAACTGCACTGTTGACACAGAAAGAAACTGGAAAGGGGAGGACCGCTTAATTCATAATTAATTTAGGGCAATACAGTCATCTTGTTGAGAGTTAGATGAGAAGATTGAGACCACACGTGTCTACGGTAAATATAAGCTATCAGCTACAAGAAGCCAGTTAGCTTAGCTTAGCATAAAGACTGAAAAGAGATTCAGCTTTGTTTTTTTTTTAAAAGATTGAGCTTTAGAGGTGCTGATAGGCAGATTTTGTTACATTTGGACAGATCTAAACTAGGTGTTTCCCTCTGTTTCCAGTCTTTATGCTAAGCTAAGCTAAGCTAAGCAGCTTTAGCTTCATATTTAGCATACAGATTTGACCTGGTGACTTTTTTAAGCAACGCCTACTCCTGAAGTAATATTTTTTCTTTCTCAGATTTGTTTTGAACTCAAAAGGACTTTTCGAGGCCTATCAGGTGAGAGGATCCTGTATTTAACGAGAAAATACGCAAATAATTGATAGAAGTTGGAAAAAAATATACATAATCTTGTGTAACCCAAAATGTAGCTTTGAACCCTTGGACCCTTGGGTCAATCAAATGTGGTTGTGAAAACAATGACGCACTGATAGTAAAACTGTCATGTCCACGTGTTCACTGTTGAGAACCGACTCGCATAAACAAAACAAATACAGTCACTCTGTTCACTTCGGCCCTCGGTAATTGTGTAAAGAGAAGCGGTTTGGCTTAAACAAAGAAAAGTTTGTTTTCACAGATGAAACAGCCAACGGCAAGACAAAGATGTCATTAGTCGGGCTAGGTTGGGTTGATGCTGCTCAATAACAAAGGTGTGTTTTTGTGGACGAGGTTTACACCTTTAAGAATAAGAAAGAAAAGAGTTAACAAGAAGCTTGACGTATGGTTTGTAGACTGTAAAGTGCTGTTTTTCACAAACACAAAGGCAGATTGATACAAACATACAACATATTTCAAACAAAGCCCTTCATTTCCACCACGACATCATTGGTTCATCATGGGATTAATCTACTGAGCTGTGTTATTTTCCTGACTTGATCGTCACGTACATTAAGTGTCAATGAGCTCAAAACATCCCCAGACTCTTAAAGCCATCACCAGTGAAATAAAAATGTCCTCAAATAGCATCAAACTGATCTCCTCTGCTGCTGCTGATCCGTCCAAACGGTGAGAATGGATAAATAACGTGACACATTCAGTAGAAGCTGTTGATTAAGACATGAGTTTCTTGCAGATACAAAAAGAAATCCTCTCACTCAGCACATTCGGCATCCCCCAGATGAAAACAGTTAAAAATGTTGGTGACAGAGGCCAAAAATGCAGTCAAATAATTTAGTTCCTAAGTTGTGGTTCATGTCAGTGATCACAATATCTGTCGAAATAATCAGGGTCGTCATTTAAACCACATTTGTACTGCCGCGAGCTGCACACAGCCGTACATGTGGCTTCGGTTATTGCACAGTTGGGGCTTTGCGGGGCTATTTGGCGTGTTTGCACGATGACAGACTTATCTTCTACATTCCTACTGTGACTAACACGGGATGAAAACAAGCCTTAAGTGCTGGCAGCTCTCAGCTTCAGTAACATTACATTCATGCCTATATAACACGACACATGCGCTACACATCAGCAGCAAAACTCTGCATTTAAACCGTCCTGTGACAAAGTGTTTACGCGGACTCGCTCTCAAATGGTAACTGTAGCTGAGCTGGAAACACAGAGTGAGTCAGAGAAGTTTACAGTCACGACCCTGTTTTCCTGAAGATGATGTTACAATACAAACACACACACACACACACACCACACACACACATTCAAACAGAGGGCGTGTGGGTGGTCACAAATTACATCAAAACTTTATTGTTTTTACATTATACAATGTAGAGTTGCAACTACAGATTATTTTCATAAGTCAGTCATTTTTTGAGCAAAAGTGCCCAACACATATTAGTAGCCTCTGAAATGTAATTATTTGCTGCTTTTCCTTCTCATAAAGCTTTGTAACTGGAATATCTGAGAGTTTAGGATAGTTGGTTGGACAAATCAAACTATTTGAATATGTTGCAATGGGCTCTAGGAAATTGTGATAAGCACGTTTCATTATTTTGGGGCAATTTAGAGACAAAGTTTAAAGTGCTCAATATAAAATTCACAGCATTTCCATTGCCTCCACACAGCTCTCAACATGGTGGCAGCGAGCCTGCGGCTTAGCTAACGGTGCAAACAGCGCCAACGGTGCAAACAGCGCCAACGGTGCAAACAACACCAACAGTGCGGACAGAGCTAACGGTGTCACACCTGAAACAGAACCAGAGGGTGGGAGCTACGCTTCCGCAACAACCCGGTGGGTCGGAACGACGTTATCGGCTGTAACCGCCGTATGAGAGCAGTGCAGAGCAGCAGCCATGAGCTAGCCAGTGGGGCACGCTCACGTGCACTAACATGCACTAAAAACAGACACGGCCGGCCAGGCTATCTCAACAAAACCAAGGGAGAGCACTCCATACACATTACTCCACTTTACACTGCAAATAGTCGTTTGCTGCTATATTAATGCTGAATTTGGAATTTAGCATCTTTAATTAATCAATAAAGAAAATCAATGATAGTTCAAATGAGCGATAGTTGCCGGCCTACAAACACATTTTTTGTTAGGTGTTGCAATAGCCCAACATACAGGACAACAATACAAATCTCAGAATAATCTATCCAGGAATTCAACTCCTTTCTGATTCTTTATTTCTAAAGCCTAAGAACATAACAACCCAGATTTATAACTTCCATAACCATACAGCAGGAAATATGCAATAACTGTTAATCACAACGTCACCACTGAGAAACACTCGGACCTCTCCCGCTGCTGCGAGCTGTCTGAGCGGCGAGACCTCCGTCACATCTATCGTCGACGTAATGATGGAGCTGAACCGCTGCACCGCAGGGCGTGCGTTTGTGGTTCTCGCTAACGCTGCCATCGTGGCTACGGGCTACAGGAGCCTGCCAAGAGTCTCAGCCTCAACCCGGATCCCTCTGCAGGCTCTCCTCCTACCAAAACACATCTTCGGTGTGGATCCAAAACAAAGACGTTCTCCCCCGCCGCCCCTCTAGGCTTCTCTGTCCACACCTCTCCTCCGCCGGTCCGGGAGCAGCAGATGTAGAGGCCTCCGGAGAGTGGGATGGGTGTGGGCTTAATGATGTGACTGGTGAAATCACCACCAATACCCAGCGGTGCAGAGCTGGAAGCAAGCCACGGCCCACAGTGTTAGAGAGCAACGACAGCCCGACTGCTGTTTGTTTTGATTTCATGCTGAAAATGTAACGTCGTATTATGCAACCGCTAAGCCATTTGGCTCAAATGCCCCATTGAGTAGGAACACACACACACACACACACACACACACATTATCCATCTCTTTATACGGTGAAAGAAGCAGCAGCATGGCACAGTGTGGAGGGAAACTACAGCCACGATACTGTAAATCTGCTCGAAACACGCTCCCACAGTTAACCTGATAAATATGACTTTATTATGCATGCAGTCTGTTCATCAGAACAGTCTCCATCATGTGCACACCGAGGGTTTGATCTGCGTGCTGCCATATGGTGCCGTGGCCTGCGGGATGGTGCATTTGCATGCCCACTCCTGCTTCTTTATGTATATGAGAGGAGTGAATTTGAATGGCGTTACTTGTGGACTCAGCTTTTCTCCTCACCATTTCTTTCTTTGTTTTGTTTTTTTAAGCGCGTGAGTCACCCCTGGGACGTCTGACCTCACGGATCTACCTCTTTCACTCCCTCTTGCCTTTTCTTTCCAAACTTCTCTCCCTCTCCAACCACAGACTTTAACATTAGTCACACTTGTCCACTATAGTATAGGAAAATATGCCTTCAGTTGCCTCCACAAAGGAGGAGACTTCAGTCCTCGCTAAGTAATGGCAGAAGAAGAAATTCTAAAATAAGCACAGCTGGAAAATAAACATCATCTTCCTCTGACAGCTTACAGCAAAGTGTCACTCTGAAACTCCCAAAAGGGTCCAACAATAAATGAAACCTTAAACACACACACACACACACACACACACACACACACACACACACACACACACACTGACACGCTCACATTACAGAAGATATCGGTCAGTGAAACAGGACTAGCCTTACCACTGGAGAGCAGGATGACGCACACTAAATTCCTCAGACAGCACAACAAAGTGTAGCCGCCCCTCACCTCTCCAATGCTTCCTATGTAACCTTATACATCTCTGCCAGACACTGATATCGCCTGAACACATATTTTCAGCGAGTCAGGGAATTCCTAAATGCCTGCAAAAACCGGAGCACAACTTGCCTCCGTAAAATGCCAAATTCACGAGGATGCTCTCCATCTCTGTCATGCAAAAGCGTCCTTACCCGAGAGCGGACACAGTTCTTCCTGGAGGCTTCTCTGAGCCGAGCCCAGGACACGTTGCGGTTAGGACTGGTGAGCCCCAGTTCCACCTCCCCCCAGTACGCTCTGGCCAGAAGCTGGAACCAAAGACAGTATGGCTCCGACAGGCAGCCGTCCACCCCGGCCAGCCGAGCCCAGGGACACCCTCCCGACGACGGGGACGGAGTGAGGGCGCAGCACCCTTCGGCGCTGACGTCCACGTCCCGATCCTTCAGGGGAACCGGCTTACAGCCCGGTGGTAGCCCGTTCCTCTGAGCCAGCATGGCATAGCCAGGTTTGAGGTGGTGAGATCAAATGGCAGAATAGATGAAAACTATCCTCAAAAATCCGTTTTTTGGCGTCTTTTGGTTCCTCTTTTCCACGTCGTCTACTCCGAGGTTCTGGATGAGTCCATTGTGCGCCCTCTTCCTCCCGCGGTCCGTCTCCAACTGTCTATTCTGGTCTCAGTTTGGGGGGAGACGGGGCGTCCCACAGACGCATGATGTTTCCACTC